GGACATCCCACAGTGTAAATCTTCTCGCTGATGAATGGCTGACCCTCGGGTGCAGGTGACTTGATGTCCCACTTCCTTACATGGGATGTGTTCTGAGTGGGAGCAGGGATACATCCCTGGGCTCAAGGAGGGGTCCCTTGTTAATCTAAGCTGTGCTGGGAGTGCAGACACTTCCTTTCTTCACAATCCAGATAAGCTCTGGGACCCCCATTCACTTGCTCTGTCAGGGTTAGTGAAACTCACAGGTAACTTACAGGTGAGTGGGCAGGATTCCAAAAATAGCCCTCTTCCACTCATCTCTCCTGAGATCTAGGCCCCTGTTCCCAGCTGCTTTCTGGATATCTTGCCACATTTCAAAGTCACTGTGTTTCCCTTCCCTCAACCATCATTTCTAGAGTCTTCTCCATGCCAGGCCTGCTAGGGGTGGGAGCCAAAGAAAAGATGGCCCCCTTTCACATGACCAAGTGTGACCTCACCATGGTGTCTCTCTCTCTCTCTTTAAAAATTTATTTATTTTATTTTTGGGCTGTGGAGGGTCTTCATTGCTACAGCGGGCTTTCTCTAGCTTTGACGAACAGGAGCTACTCTCTCGTTGAGGTGCGTGGGCTTCTTTTGTTGCGGAGCCCAGGCTTCTAGGCATGTGGGCTGAGTAGCAGCGGCCTGGGCCCTAGAGAGCTGGTTCAGTGGTTGTGGCACTCGGGCTTAGTTGCTCTGAGCACATGGTGGGTCTCTGTTGAACTTGTCTCCTCCTTCCTCCTCTGGATCAAGCATTCCTTGAAGGCAAGGGCTGCTTTTGCTACAGGGTGTGTTCTCAGCACCCGCGAGTTAGCACATATTAGATGCTCAATAAAACATGGTTGCCAACATGTCAAATGAACGCAAAACCTGTCTTCCAAAGGCTTCGGGGTGTTGGGGGAAGCAGAGAAGGGAACCAACAGATGGAGTTCACCCCGCACACATGTTGGGGTAGCGGGTAGCAGGAGGAGGGCATTTAACCATGTCCCCAGGGTGGGGCTCAGGGACGGCTTGCAGGTGGAGGCAACTGAGAACTAAGAATGAGTGTGAGAAAGGACAGGGCATAGGGGAGAAGGCCATTCAAGATGCCAGCAAAGCAGCCCAGGGCACCAACTGATGGAGCAACAGTGTATTCTGGGCAGTAGAAGGAGGCGAGGGCAGGAGGCCCAGGCAGGTGGACAAGCTCATCTTTTCTGCAGACCAGCCCTGCCTTCCCTGACCTCCCAGCATTTGTGGAGCCGCCTCAGTTCTCCTGGAGACTTTCCTACACATCCCGTCTTCTCTCTTCCTCAGGATTCTTGTTCTCTGGGTTTTGTGCTCACCCTTCCCCGCCCTGGGGCCTCCATTCTGGTCCCACCGCCCTGCCCTGACGTTCTGCTGGCCTGGTTACTGTGCAGGCCACCGAACTGGTCCTCCCGCCCTTGTCTTGTTGGGCTCCAATCCACCGCCATACACTTCTGGCAGATTCTTTCTAGGGCTCAGTCCTGACTGCAGCCCTCCCGGCTTAGTAGCTTCCAATGGCTCCCAGGTGTCTACAAAATTAGGTGAGAGATTCTTGAAACTCAGCATGCTGGGACTCCAACCTGAAGGTCTACCTAACTTTCTAGAATCTTCCGCTGTCCACATTCATGTAACCAGCACCAAACTGGACTCTACTTGAGTTCATGCTCTCTGGACTATCTGTTCCCACGTCCCCAAATGTCTATGGGGTCCTATACAACTTTTAGGGCCAAACTCCAACTCTGCTCTCTCTGTGAAGCCGTTCCCCACTCCCTGATAAACTTTATTTTATAGCTCTTATCTCATGTCACAGCACAGTTCTAATCTTCCCTGGGCATGAGGGATAGTCACCAAGGTTGGCAACAGTGAGGAGCTAATATATGCCTTATGGCCAGAGGACCCAAACCCTACCAACCACTATCCACAAAGTCCCTGAAGGAGAGTCAGAGGAAGAGCAGAGAAGAAAGAGCAGTCACATTTGATGGCAGCTGGACTTGGGCTCCAAACTGGAGTCAACCCGGCTGAGCCTGGGTGGCCGAGTTCTCCTTGAATCTCTGCTCTCTCTCTGCTCTGGGCAGCCACATGGAAGGACAAGGGAGAGGGCATCAGCCTGGGCCACCGAACCGATCGGCTGCAAGAACATAGGAGAAGGATGGGCCATCCACTCCACCGGACCCTTACCCAAGCCTGTGTTTTAGGAACAGTAACCACACCTACCTGCAAATACGGGCCAATCAGTGACCTGCAGTCCGACCAATCGGACGAACTTTCTCCCTCCTTGGGATAGAATAACAGGGGAGGTATGCAGAGATGGAGCCCTGAGATGTCTCTTCTTACTTCCAGAGTCCCTCCAACACCCAGCACAGCAATGGAGACAGTGGGAACAGGGACTGGTTGGAAGAATTTGAAACCAGTGCTTCCAGCATGAGTAGTGGTCTGGGTTGGTCCTCTTGTCAAGGTCCAGGCCAGCAATCTCTAGACAGGATGTACTGACGTCAGGGTGAACCCTCTCCCAGCCGCCCACTGAGTACACACTCACTGGTGCTCAGTAAATGTCAGCAGCCTGCTGAGCTAAGAGGAGTCGGAAGAGATGTATTGGAAGGTTTTCACCCAAAGATCCTGGCTCTCTTTGAGAGGCCATCACAAGGGAAATAGATATTGCGTGACAGCACGGGAGCCAAGAGGAAGGAAAGCCTGAGAAGCAGAACATATCAGGACAAAACCACTGGGCAGTGGAAATACATGGGCTGTGAGACCCCCTCTGGTTAGGGAGAGAGGATGCAGGGGAGGAAGGGGCCATGGGGACATGCTTAGGGACCTTGTATCAGAGGGAGCTTGTTTTTTGAGCTTCATATTTCATTTTATTATTTTTTTTAATTGGAGAATCATTGCTTTCAGAGAAGGAAATGGCAACCCACTCCAGGATTCTTGCCTGGAGAATCCCATGGGCAGAGGAGCCTGGTGGGCTGCTGTCCATGGGGTCACACAGAGTCGGTCATGACAGAGGCGACTTAGCAGCAGCAGCAGCAGCAGCATCATTGCTTTACAATGTAATAGTTTCTGGGTACAACCTGAACCAGCCATGTGTATACATATGGCCCCTCCCTCTTGAGCCTCCCTCCCGCTCCACCCCCCCCCCCTTCTAGATCATCACAGAGCACTGAGCTGAGCTCCCTCGGCTATAAGGCAGCCACCTACGAGCTGTCCATTTTAGCCACGGTAGGATATACATGTCAGTGCAGCTCTCTCAACCTGTCCCACCCTCTGCTTCCCCTGCTAGGTCCACAAGTCCAATTTCTATGTCTGCATCTCTATTCCTGCTCTGCAAATAGGTTCATCAGTCCATTTTTCTAGATTTCATATATATGCATTACTATACAATATTTGTTTTTCTCCTCCTGCTTACCTCACCAGAGGGAACTGTTAAGAGATGCATCAACCAGGGAACTGAAATCCCAAACTCGTGTCTGCCCCGCCAGGGGCTGGGACTTTGGCCAGTTTGCCCCAACCCTCTCAAATAAAGTGGGTCTTTTGGCTCTGCCTCCCGTGTAGAGGCAGTGAAGGATGCTGGTTGGTTCTCTGCTTTGTTTTGGGGTGGGATTTGGGGCCAGGGCTGCCTCTTATTTCTCTCCTTTACTCTGATGTCAACTTCCATCCTCTCGAGGGTTTCCTCCCAGTCCTGGATGCTGAGGTGGGGGCAGCTTTGTTCTCATGATACTGGGCCAGTGGACGTGGGGCCTGGACGCCACATCCAAGGAGATCAGAGTGGGACCAGCTGGCGGATTTGTTCTCATACAAGGACAGCGTCTCTGCATCATCCAGTGGAGGAGTTCACACAAGTCCTGACCAGACGTCCGCGACTGCCAGGGATGTCCCAGGCCGAGATGAGTGCCTGGGGTTCTAGGATTCTGCCTTTGCAGTGGTTCTGAACAGATAACTTTTTTGGCTGTTTGTTCATCCTCCAAATGGTTTGAGGAAGGGTTTATTCCACAGGTTTCCTAAAGAGTAAGCCGACTTCTAAATTCAATACCGAAAAGTCTCTGAGACATCCTTGATCATTTACATTTCCCATATGGAACCTCGTGATTTTTGGATTTCAACTACATGTTCCTTTCCTGCACCGCCAAATTAAAAAAAAAAACAATCTCTCTTTTGAGGAGCTTTTGATAGTCAGGACTCAAGGGTCTTACCTTCAAGCAGGTGTATTTGTATTTGCCTCGTGTCACCTGGCTGCAAAACTCATTAAGGATCAGAGAATAGTGAAGGCTTTTGTTCTTCCAAATGCCTTCCCCAGCCTCATCTTGGGTCTCACAACCCCTCTGGAGGGGAAGCTGGGTTGGTGTTGATTTTTATCACGGTCTTTTCCGGGTAGGGAAACCCAAGCACCCACTAGTATGGGGGAAAGGAGCCAGAACAGAGCTGGGGGTCGAATCTGGACCCTCCCTGCATCCTGTTCCTTGGGGGCCACCCACAGGGCAAGGAGGCTGCTCCTGCCTCAGAGCTGCACATGCCCTCTATCTTTGCCTCCTCGTCAGCCCAGAGCAATGCCAAGAAGTCAGGATTTCAGGGGACAGGAGCCTCAGCCCCCAGTCAAATATTCTCTTATGGACGAAGAAGCCCGGGGACCCAGGGATGTAACAGACAAGGGAGGAACGGGACCCTGCCGACAGCCTTGCTCTCCTAACTGAATTAACTTCACGTGGCCTAGAGTCTACCAGCCGCTTTGGAGGTATCCTCTCTACCTGCCAACCTTCCGTTTCTTTTGCCTTTTCTCTCCCTTGGCTCCCTGCAGAGGCCCGCTGCAGCAAGAGCCCCTGTCTCGAGACCTTCGACTTCGCCGGGTGCCCCGCCGCCGATTCTGCAGGTCGCCACTGGGTGGCGCAGCCGCCCACGGTGTGCGGGCTCGGGTCGCGCGGCTCTGGGTGCAGGAGGCGCATCCTGCCTGCCATCTCCACCAGCCCCACGGGAGAACCGGGCTCCTAGGGATGCTAGAAAGCGGAGGGGAACGGAAGGGGGCTGTCTTCCGGGAGCTGGGGGGCGGCTTCCCGGCTGTGGGGCCAGGTGGGGCTGAACGAATTTCAGGGACCTTTAAAGAGAAGTGGATGTGTTCCTGCCTCCCATGGGCAGGGCAGGGCAGGGAAATGTAGAGAGAGGAGGGGTTGTTGGAGCCTCTTTTCCCCCAGGGAAGCCCTCTTAGGCTGAGAATAGGCCAGAAAATTGCATTTCAAGAGCAGAGGAGAAAATATCAATGCACATGATTTGGGGAGGAGGGTTTCCTTACCTATTTAGCAAACACACAGCACTTGTACATGCCAGGCGCTTTACAAACGTTAGTGCCTTTACGTCTCAGAACAACTCCACAACCTTATTTTACAGTCAGGACACTGAGGCACAGCTTCCCCCATCGGTAAGTGGCATAACTGGGGTCCCGCCCAGACAGACCGACTCTCCTGCAGCCTGCTATCAGGGCTGGGATGGACTTCAGACCACCTCCTTCCTCACAGAAGGTGCTGGGAGGGAGGCATGCCTGGCTTCTGCGTACAGTTTAGCTCTGATGCCCTCCTGCTTCTTTAATTCATTCTTAGAACCACTGTTCTAAGATGTGCGGCTTCTTGGCACTTGGACTGCAGCGGTCAGCAAAACCAGCCACAATCCTTGTCCTTGTGGAGACTTAATCCTTGTGGAGCTCGTTGGATTAGTAGTAGTGCTCAGCCATGTCCAACTTTGTGACTCCGTGGACTGTAGCCTGCCAGGCTTCTCTGTCCGTGGGATTTCCCAGGCACAGGGGTCCTGGAGTGGGTTGCCGTTCCCTTCTCCGGGGGATCTCCAGGGGACCCAGGGACTTGAACCCATGTCTCTTGCATCTTCTGCATTGGCAGGTGTGCTCTTTACCACTAGTGCTCCGGGGAAGCCCAGGAGCTAGTTAAGCAGACAGAGATTAATTCATCACATCAATGACACTTACAGAGGTCAGTGCTCCAGAGAAAGCTCTTTTCTTCCTGGCCCCACTCCATACCCTCCCTCCCCAGACTCACTTGGCATAGCCCTGTGTGTCTACTAAGACTCTAGCTCAGAGCTGAGAGGATAGATGGTGACTTGACTTAGTTGCACAGCCCTTGGTGACTTGGAAGGGAGATCACATGTGTTATTTTGTTTGGCCTTATCCAGAATGGGCTGGCGTGGTTCTCCTAGGGAGGCAGGCCTTTTAGAAGAGGATGCTTCAATCCAGAAAAAATTCTGGGCAAGACTGAGAAAAAGTCTTTCAGACTTGGGTTTGAATCCAGTCTGTCACCTGATTTGTAGTGTTTGCCAATTTCTGTGGTCCATCTGTTGGTGGATTTCAAGTTACCAATGTGATGTCACTAAATAAGGAGCTGGGAAGAGATGCACAAATCTGACTTTGACAGCCTGTGTGAGCATGTGCCAATGCACTGGTGGCAGTGTCTCTCTCTAGTTATGTGAACTGAGGCAAGGGATTTAGCCCTTATAGCTTCAGTTTCCTCATCTGTAAAATGGGCTAACAATACCTCTCTCAAAATGTTGGTATGTAGGTGAAGTGACTTACTGTGGTTTTTACCTGTCTTATTGAATCCTTATGATGCACTTACGCATACTGTTTGCTTAGTTTCATGTTTATTTCTCCAATAAACTATGAACTCTTTAAAAGTCAGGACCATGTCACACATCTTTTTGTTGTTATTATAGTTTTGTTGTTTTGTCCTTTTTTGCCTTTTTAAAAAAATCAGAGTATAATAGACTTATTATATTAATTTCATGTGTATAACAGTGATTCAATGTTTTTATACAGTACAAAAATAATCACCATGATAAGTCTAGTTACCATCTGCTATCATACAAAGTTACCACAATACTATTGACTCTATTTCCTATACTCTATATCCTTTATTTTATAACTGGAAGTTCATGCTTAATCCCCTTCATGTATTTTGTCAACCTCCTAATCCCTCTGCTCTGGCAACCACCAGTTTGTTCTCTGTATCCATGAGTCTGTTTGTTTACTTATGTTTATTCATTTATTTCATTGTTTGGATTCCTCGTATAACTGAAATCATGTGGTATTTGTCTTTTATGTCTGACTTATTTCACTTAGCATAATTCCTTCTATTCCTTATGAATAACATAATTCATTTATGTTATTGCAAGTGGCAATTTTTCTTCTTTTTTATGGCTGATTAATATTTTACTGTTTGTATATGTGTGTGTGTGTGTGTGTGTATACATACATTTTCTTTATCTTTTCACCTATAGATGAATACTCAGGTTGCTTCTATATCTTGGTTATTGTAAATAATGCTGCAGTGAACATTGGAGTGCATATATCTTTTTTATTAAAAAAAAAGATATTTTTTCATTTTCTTGGGAAATACCCAGAAGTAAATTGCTGGATCATATAGTAGTTCTATTTCTAGTTTTTTGGGAAGAATTTCCATAATGTTTTCCACCCCGGCTACACCAGTTTACATTCCACTCAACAGTGCTCTAGGATTCCCTTTCCTCCACATCCTGACCAACACTTGTTACATGTCTCCCTGGTAATAGCCATTCTGACAGATGACAGGTAATGTCTCATTGTGGTTTTCATTTGCACAGTAAGTCCTCTACATAAGAACCTTCACGTTGTGAAATTTCAAAGATGCGAACATACATTCACCCGTCTAATCACATAAGATAGTTCACATATCTGGTGAACACTGTCACGGGCATGTATCTTCCACAAGAAGTTGTGCTTTTGTGTACCTTACTATATCATATTTTGTAGACTACAGTAGTACAGTATCTTTATTTTAAGCCCAGGATGTCCTGAAACAAGTGTAAAAGCAGCAGTGATGTAGCTGGCACTGTTAAGAGGTGCCAAGTGATAACAATGCAAACAAGTGAAAATAATTGAGAGAGCAGAGCAAGGTGAAAAGACAGCTTGTCCTCTGTCTCCCATTGCTGACAATCCTTCCGCTCTACCATCTTCTCCCTCTTCCAGTTAGTAACGCCTGTTCACTTGATGCCAGACCCTGCATGCTAGTTGTTGTAATGTACTACTGTACTTTTCAAGATATTATACTGTGAGATTAAAAATGTTTTCTTTATTTTTGTGTTTGTTTTTTTATGTATTATTTGTGTGAAAAGTATTTTAAACCTATTACAGCACAGTTGTTGTTTAATTGCTAAGTCGTCTGACTCTTTTGCAACCCCATGAATTGTAGCCCATGAGGTTCCTCTGTCCATGGGATTTTCCGGGCAAGAATACCAGAGTGGGTTGCCATTTCTTTCTCCCAAGATCTTCCCCACCCAGGGGTGGAACCTGCGTCTCCTGCATTGGTAGGCAGATTCTTTACCACAGAGCTACCAGGGAAGCCTGTTTTTCAGTACAGTATTATGTAGCCAATTGTGTTAGTTAGATACCTAGGTTAACTTTGTTGGACTTATGGATACACTCTTACATTGGAGTTCATTCGTTTGTAGGGAACGTACAGTTCTTCCTTGATTATTAGTGAGGTTGAGCATCTTTTCACATACTTGTTAGTCATTTGTATGTCTTTAGAAAAATGTCTATTCAAGTCCTTTGCCCAGTTTTTAATCAGGTATTAATCTTTTATAATGAGTTGTATGAGTTGTTTATATATTGGATATTAACCCCATGTTGAATATATGATTTGAAAATATCTTCTTATATTCAGTAGATTGCCTTTTCATTTTATTGATGGTTACCTTCACTATGCACATTTTTCTGTTTGTTTGTTTTTTTGATTAGGTTCTGTTTATTTTTGCTTTTGTTGTCCTTGCTTCTGGAGACAGATCCAAAAAAGTGTTTCTAAGACCAGTGTCAAAGAGCATACTGTCTATGTTTTCTTATAGGAGTTTTAAAGTTTCAGGTCTTACTTGGATTAAGCCTTTAATCCAAGAAAGTGGTCTAGTTTCATTCTTTTGCTTGTAGCTGTCAAGTTTTCCTATCACCATTTTTGAGGAGACTATCATTTTTCCATTATGTATTCCTGCTTTCTTTGTCATAGATGCTTGACCATATAAGCAAGGGTTTATTTCTGGGCTCTCTGTTTTGTCCTATTCATCTGTGTGTCTTTTTTTTTTTTTTTTTTTTGTGCCAATACCATACTGTTTTGATTGCTTTAGCTTCATAGTATAGTTTGAAACCAGGAATTTGTCATACCTCCAGTTTTTTTCCTTCTTATTCAAGATTGCTTTAACTATTCAGGATCTTTTGTAGTTCCATACAAGTTTTAAGATTATTTGATCTGGTTCTTTAAAAAAATGCCTTTGGTATTTTGATAGGGATTACATCAAATCTGTAGATTGTTTTGTGTAGCATGGACATTTTAATAATATTAATTCTTTCAGCCTATGAACATGGCATATTTTTCCAATTATTTGTGTTGTCTTCAATTTCTTGCATCAGCATCTTATAATTTTCAGAGAACAGGTTTTTCACCTCCCTGGCTAGAGTTATTCTTGGGTATTTTATTCTTTTTGATGTGATTGTAAATGGGATTATTTTATTAACTTCTCTTCCTGATAATTCATTATTATGGATAGAAATGCAACACATTTCTATGTATTTAGTATTCTGAAAATTTATTTAAAATTATTTAAAATTTTTATTTTTTGGCTGTGACAATGCAGCTTGCAGGATCTTATCTTAGTTTCTGACCAGGGATTGAGCCCATGTCCTTGGCAATGAAAGCGTGGGAATCCTAACCACTGAACTGCAAGGGAATTTCCTAGTATCCTGTAAATTTATTGAATTATATTACTCTAATTTTTTAATGGCCTCTTTAGGGTTTTCTTTAGGCAAAAAAAATTTGTTCAGGTTTTTCTGTAAGATGTTATGGAAAAAATTGAATGAACATTTTGGCCAACCCAGTAGTAGCATGTCATCTGTAGGCAGTGATGGTTTTACTTTTTTCCTTATAAATTTGGATGCCTTTTATTTATTTATTTTTTTCTTGTCTGATGCTGTGGTCAGGACTTTTGATACTACATTGCATAGAAATGGTGCTAGAGTACATTTTTGTCTTATTTCTGATCTTAGA